ACTTAATGGTGCTGCCGCGGATGTAGCACTGGAGCATCGCCAGAACTTGTCCTGTCCCTAGCTGTGCAGATTACCTCGTGCAGGTTGATGTTCATCCAGTTCTCACAGCTCACCAGATGCCCACTGTACGTCTCCCCGTTTTTAAGCTCCACTGACATGGGGTGATTTTGAGCCGTCTTCAACAGTGACAACGGGAGCATGGTGGCGGCAGGGACCTGGCCTGCCGGTCACTTCCACCACGGCCTCCTCCGTTCATGCGCCCTGCTTGTTCTTATTCTTTTTTATCCAATTTATATTTTATTTATTTTTCTAATTTTCTTTATTATCTAAAGTTTTACATGTCTCCTTTTTCCCCGGTTGACCCCCCCCCCCCCCCCCCCCGCCAAAAAAAAAGGGAACTTTTACCATTTGCAACAACATGGATGGAACTGGAGAGCATTTTGCTAAGCGAAAGAAGCCAGTCGGAGAAAGATACATATCACATGATCTCACTCCTATAATGGGATATAATGATCAACATAATTTGATGAACAAGAATAGATCCAGAGACAAATGTTCTTATTCTTTATCTCTGTTCCTCTCCACTCCCTTCTCCGTCCCACCCCCCAACACATTGCACACATGAGACCCTAACTTTGTTTTGCTGATCTAATTTCTCCTTTATCATTCACTTTTAAATAAGGACTAGGAAATGCTGACTGGGCAGAAAGTCTGACCCTCTTTGAGGCCAAGGCCTCAGGAATTAACAGGGAAATGAGGGAGGCCACCAGAGGCTGAGCAGGGAAAGGGTACAAGCCTTAAAGAGCAGAAGTGAAAGCAGACAACCACTCTATGTTACCAGAACTCCTGAAAGAGCATGGAAATGACCCACACATTATCCACACATTATTAGAAAGGGGGTTCTGAGAAACAAGTAGCTGTAAATGTGTGATTTCCCTTTAGATTCATTAAAATATTTAGCGCCAAAGTGGTATTTTTATCGTCTCACTTGACTCTGCTTACTATTCAGCTTTGGTAGTTTCTCCAGATTCTATTCACTGTAAAAACAGCAGATTGATAACGTTTAGTCCCTAAATCTCTGGGGTAGGCCATCTGAAATGAGATCTTTTATCCTTCTCTTCTCCCACTTTACAGAATGCATTTTCATAGCATTCTTGCAAGAAGCAAGATTATCAGAAAAAGAAAAATGAAGGGGAGTAAAGTCTAAAGAATATCATACCAAAGCTTTTGGTAGGAAAACATTTATGTCCGCAAGCACACACCACACCCTTTCTGGGAAGATATTACTGGTCTTGAAGCTGGGTTAGTGGATCCCAAAATATACCACACAAACAGCACAGTTACCCTCCCAAAATAGGCCCTATAATTAAAGTCTTTTCAAGTGGATTGTCCTATATCACAACCTGACATATGTTGCTTTAATCTCCCTGCTTCAGCAAATGTAGCCATACTGGGTACAGAGGCTCTAAAAACTACTTGCGTTTAAGCCAGACTGTGGTATCACCAGGAAAATGATGCAAATATACAGCCCTGTGTACCAAAATACCAATCTCAATCATTTGTAATGAGATCTCCCTCCACCCTAAGCACATTTTTATCTCACCAGAATCGCTACCCCTGATTCAGAAGAAAGGACTACCCCAGACTGAAATGCCATTTCATCTCAGACGTCATCTAAAGAAAAACATATCTGAAGAAGCTGGGGTTGAAATTTAAAATATAAGACAATCTCTTTTGTGTGAATGCTGGGATCATGTTGTGTGAGCCTCACTTTTAGCTTTAGTTGCCAGTCTTCAGTATAAGTCTTCAGGCACCCATCTGTCTGAATTCCTTACACCAGGGGCGGGCAAACTTTTTGACTCTAGGGCCACAATGGGTTCTTAAACTCGACCGGAAGGCCAGGACAAAAGCATGGATGGAGTGTTTGTGTGAACTAATATAAATTCAAAGTAAACATCATTACATAAAAGGGTACGGTCTTTTTTTTTTTTAGTTTTATTCATTTCAAATGGGCCGGATCCGGCCCGCGGGCCATAGTTTGCCCACGGCTGCCTTACACCATTTTGTGCTTGAAGTCAGAGTTAATGTAAGAGATAGCTTCTTAGGAGCCCTTTCAGACCTATTATACTTTAAATAAATGTTTTAATGTTATATATATATATATATATATATATATATATATGTAAAAATAAATATCAAAATATTTTAAAATTTAAATCTTCAAAATAATGAGTACTTTAGACATTAAGTTTTTTTATTATTTCTATATCAGGTTTCTCAGCCTTGGGATTATTGTTATTTTGAGCTGGATCACTCAGTGTGTGCGGCGTCCTTCCCATTGTAGGATATTTAGCAGCCTCCCTGGCCTCCACCCACTGGAAGCCAGTAGCACACACCCTTTCTTCCCCAGTTGTAACAATAAAACATGTCTTCAGACATTGCCATATGTCCTCTGGGAGGACAAAATTGACCTGGATTGAGAACCACTGTCCTCTTTATGTATTCAGATACCTCCCCGGCATGGCCAAGAAAAGGAAAGCTAGATTTTTCAAGGCATCCACAAGTTTTAGTTTTAAGAATTCCAAACTTCCTATGACTCATAATGAAGAATCAGGATCTACGATACACTACTACCTGAGAGATTTATAAACAGCATTACTGCCTCAAAATAAGGGTGGCCTGGCTTCATTTCAGTCATTTAAGAGGATAACTCTGCTATCTGATATCCTGGATTGCTAGCCCCCCCTACTTTTAGGTGCACCATTCTTAGAAGACTACTCTTAAGACACTTACCAGGCACTCAGGACTGATTATGAAGGAAGAGGATTAGGGTTGGGGGTCTATTAACATCACCTATAGAATCAATGGCCCACTGAACTCCAGTGTCAGCCTACTCCAGGGGCAGTGTTCTAAAGCTGGGCAAGGTGTAAGCAAGCACATGGTAAAGCAGGTGATTCCTCAAGGAGAGTTGCAGGGTGGGGAGAGATAGGAAAATAGCTTCAGAAGACAAAGAGCCAATGAATGGGAGGTGGGAGGTTCAGCTGAGAAGAAAAGGCAAATGAGGAAGGAGATTGTCCTTAAATATCTGGTGGGCTGGTGTGGGAAAGTGGGTGGACTTGTTTCCGTCTGCTGAGAAAGTGATAAGAACGGTAGGTAATTCAGTAGATGCTTACCACAGGCCTTCCAGGGGCCAGGCACTGCCTAGGCACTGAGGCGACAGGAAGGACGAAGATCCAGTCTCTGTCCTATGGAGTGCACACTGTAGTCCATAGAAGGACTGGATCTCTTCCCCTCTCACCCACCTTCCCTCTTTCTACTAGTATTTTAACAATTTGAGCCAAATGCCCAGGTATTTGTCTAACTGCTTGTGTTTCTTTTCCCATTTTAAAAGTTAAGATTTAATTAACATACAGTAAAATTCAGCCTTTTAATTGTACAGTTCTGTAAGTTTTCACAAACTCATATAGTTGCATAAATACCATCACAATAAAAATCAAGAACAATTTTCCTCATCCCTTAAAATTTCCCTATGCCCCAATTGTTTTTTAAATTGTAGCAAATGGCTTGGGGCAATAGCAGGCTCATCTCTGAGAGAATGTGAACTTCCCTCTACTGGATACTGTGGAAGAGACTTGTTTAGCTGGTGGGAGATTGGGCCAGACAAACCCTGAGGCCGGGTCCATCCCTCTGATTCCGTGAAAATGGGCACCCGATCTTAAACATTACCCATCTGCAGTGATATGGTTGATTTTCCCCAATCACAGGTAAAGGCCCACCCCAAAGCCATATTCTTTTAGTCAAAGCTCAATAAAATTGGCCCAATAATTGGATATCTATGAAAGCTACATAATAAGCATAGACAAAAAAAATAAAATAAAAATAATCAAGACAGGTTTGGAAATGAAAGCCTGAATGTGGCAATTGAGGTCCAAATCAAGGATACCATCTACTCCCAACCCTTCCTTTTCTTCTTGGTATTTTGGTTTAAAATAACATAAACTCCAAAACTGAACCAAGCTCACACAATGTGACCACACTTGGCTCTAAAGGTGGCAGGAAGGGAAGTTAAATTAGCCAAGTTTGTCTAAGAATGGGTCGACAGGGTTAAAGACAAATGCCTCAGGGGTTCCCACAGCTTGTTACGGAGGAGGGACTGTGGTGACCAAATCTGATGTGCGCTGTGACAGCAAATGGGGCGTGACCAACCCATCCCCAGCAGCCCTTCCACTGGGAGATATGAACACCTTTGGCTGGCTTGACCTCAATGACAACTGTCCAGTTTCCAAACAAGCCTGTTCTGCTACCAAGAATAACTGCTTTATTGAGCACCTACTACGTTACAGCCCTACCTAGCTCCTTTTATTCTCACAACCACTTTATGAGGTAGGTAATATTATAAGCCTCGTTTTACAGACGAGGAAACTAAGGCCCAAAGAGGTTATGTAACTACCAGTAAGTGTAGAACTTTTTATTATTGCTAGCAAGGTCTTCTGGTGGTTGCTGAACTTAATGTCTTGGTCTCTCAGGCCTCTACTATGCTTGTTTTGTAGGCTGGCTCCCAGGCATGCTGGATTCCCCGAGCAGCCAATTGCCTGTTCTCTCTCATTTCAACCTAGAGGTCATAAGGAGCTCTCTGCTTTAGGCTTTTTATTTTATTTCACTCTTTTGGTCTGCAAGTTTATTACTCTTGTATTCTACAGGTGGCTTAGACCATAAGCTAAACTGTCAAGGGTATTCCTTACCCTGCATCCAGAAGCTTCCCTAAACCTAGACTCCTCATTACATCTTAGAAAGTCCCATGTTCTTTAATAACATCAGCAATAACAAGGAAAAAAGTCATACTGTCAGAAAACACCAACTGAATGTCACATTTAATTATAAAATTGCATTTTGTCTGAGTTTAGTGCAGATTTAAAAATGCACAGAACAAGACAACGGCTTCCCTTTGTGAGCACCATTTTACAAAAAAGGGTATTAGAAAACAATGCAGTGACACTTACCAAAATTTCCCCCAACTATCACAAACTTTATATACACCACATGTCTTCTAATACCGCTGCTGGGGTGGCCCTGAAAAACAATACCACAACAGAAGGATAGATGCATCATTAAAGACATGATTTAATATATGTAAATATTGTGTTTTTCTCCTGGATACCACACGTCTTCCTGTTTTGGGCTCTCATCAATGTACCAAACTCTTACTGTCAGATTCCTTTTTGTTTTCACAGGAAGATAAAACTAACTTACAAATTAATGCAGCATTATCCTATATAATCCTATATCAGTGATGGTGAACCTTTTGAGCTCGGCGTGTCAGCATTTTGAAAAACCCTAACTTAACTCTGGTGCCGTGTCACATATAGAGATTTTTTGATCTTTGCAACCACAGTAAAACAAAGATTTATATTTTTGATATTTATTTTATATATTTAAATGCCATTTAACAAAGAAAATTCAACCAAAAAAAATGAGTTCGCGTGTCACCTCTGACACGCGTGTCATAGGTTCGCCACCACTGTCCTATATAATCCTATATAATCAAGAGCTAATATGCTAATTAGACCAGATAGCAGACGACCTTCCGGAATGACCATTGGGCGGGGGGCAGGGCCACGAGGCAGCTGGGGCTGCGAAGGCCTACCCTTGCATGATTTTCGTTCATTGAGCCTCTAGTAACAAATAAATAAAAATCTGGACAACGAAGCAAGCCAGAAACTATGCTTATAAATACTTTATTTGAATGTTTAGCCTTTTAAAAGAATTGAATGCATAAATATCCAAAGTTGATATTTCAACTATATTTTCTCCCCAAGCCAATTCCTCTTTCCTATTTCTTTCAGTAACACATTCTTGTCTCCTTTACTGGCTGTGAAACCTGATCTTTCTTTTCTAGACTTCATTTTATTATGAAAAATAGGAATCATCATACTGACCTCCCAGGGTTGTTAGGAGGATTAAATGATATAAATTTAATGACATTAAATGACATAGAAAGGCTTAAAACAGCACCTGGTCCACAGTAAATGTGGGTGAATGTGAAAACCGATTTTCATTCTCCTAGTCACTCAGGCCTGAAAACTACCGTGGCCTCCCTCACCTTCACGGTAAACCCTGGCCTAAGCCTGCCCTTCCAGGCCCCAGGCGTGCTGCACTCAAGGCCTCCCCATTCTCACGCTGGGGTTACACTCTGCTCTCTCTGGTTGGCATTAGTCCTGGCAGAAACTGATCACTGGCCTCCTATTTCTTCCCTTCCAATCCCACACTCCTGGTTCTGCAAAGCACCCTTCCTAAACACCACATAAGGCCTCAGTGGAAACACCTTCCACTGCTTCCTGTCACCTGCACCTTTATCTGTGACAGTGTGTTAGCCCAGTGCCGCAGCTCACCTCGGCTTTATCTCCACATCTCCTCACCAAATGCTTTGGCATCCAGTCACCTGTCCCCGCCTGAGCCTTTTGGCATGCCAGTTCCCTAGTTCCCCGAATGTCTTCTGTCCCATGTGTGCTGGTAGGAGGCCCAGCCATTCACTCCCTAAGGCAGGGACTCTAACTTTCTGTGCCCTAACATCTAGAGATATGTTTCTCAGAATAAGGTTTCTAAATGCTTGAAATTAGCACATGAAATGAAAAGAAGTATATTGATATACAGTTATCAAAATTGTTATATGCTTCTTTTGGTGTTTAAATAAATTCCAGTAAAAGTCTAATAACAGCTAATTTTGAAGTACTGTTGGGGTGATATTTCAGGATATCTTTAAGTACAATGTAATATGAAAATACTCATAATTTCATAATTTGGAAACAAATAGTAATGCCACTTTCATAATAGAAGAAAATGTTACATTTCAGTTAAAGAGTTAATGAAAATAAAGAGATAATTTTTCCCATCCAAGTTCACAGACTCCCTGAGTTCCATCCATGGACTCAGGTCAAGCATCCTGACTTTAAGGCTAAGCCAAATGTTCATCTTCTTGAGCTCTTTCTACCTTGATTTTCCCAATTTGATATTACCTTACCCTCTTTGTTTTTCTTTTTAAAAATTTTGTATTATTGATATACTTTAAATGTACTTACTGTTTCCTACTTTTCAAGTTGTAAGTCTTTTAAGGGGTAAGGGAAGGCCCTATGCTTTTCCATTTTTTAATTCTTCTCCTGGCTAACAATGCGTGGCCTCACAGCAGGCACAGTAGGAAGGCATTAGGCAGCACTGCTTGAATTAATCTGTGAATAACAGTGCAATCTTGCTTATGCTACACAGACTCAGCTAATATTAATATTATCTTATCTCTCTTTGGCAATATCGGAGGTCCTAAGTATGTAGATGGGGCACCTAAACATTCCATGTTTAGAGTATAACGTACTGGAATTAGGCAACAAAATGTTCTCGTCCTTTACTTTTCCTCTTTAGAGAGTAAATGCTTAGTCAATGCTGCAGACTGACAGATCTGGGAACAGACCAGCTCCTCAATCATTCTTCTGATACAGGGGCTGCCTGTCTAATGCACAATTCCTACCTTTGTGAAGCTCCAAGTCGAGCAGCTTTCCTGGGCTAGTTTGAGAATCTCTCAACCTTTTAGGCCTTTGCAAAGACAACAATAGCTGGTGATTTCCTAAGTACAGGTGCCTTTATGAGTCAGGTCGGCAGGGGCAGTTAAGAGTTGCCATGGCTTCCCATTGGTCTCACATACCAGTATGTGAACCCCAGGTACCAGGGTAGGCGGTTCCAGTAGATGGAGCAGTGAAATTCCATCTCCTCTCCTGAGTGATGCTGTCTTTGCATATGAGGTTGGAGATGGCAACCCCACCAAAGTGCCCATCTCAGCATTGTCTACTAAGCACCTGGCTGAATAGTTCACTGTGAACTCCACTGAGTATAATGGATCAACCTCATGATAGATATCAGTCCTTCAGTCTATCAGCTTTTTTCCTAAATAGCTGCAGCTCAGGACTCCTGTGTGTCTTTGCCAAGAAAAACAAAAATATAACAGACTAGTTCATCCTTTTCAAATGAAGAGAGAATAATGATAGTCTCCACTGAAACCATTCATAAGGGCACTGTGACCATTTGCTTTGGCAGAAATTCACCACTGGCAGCATTTTCAAGCCCTACATCATGTCAAGTGACTCTTATGATAAGTGGGGTGTAGTCTCCCATCCCAGTAACCAAGACTAATGAGATCTCCACTCAGAGAACAAAGGCTGGACTTGGCACACAGTTTTATTCTTAAAGACATTTAAATGCATTTCATTTGAATTTGTTCCTTTTGAGACACACTAGATATGTGGTACTAAACAAAAATGATAATGGAGAGGGTAGCATGACTGCTTTACCTTCTGTTTCAGGAATTATGATGTATTCATCCTCATAAATAAATAATAAGATGTTTAAAGGGGCTCCCACACAATACATTGCACTGTATGTACTGTTTGCTTTTAATACATATCATAGACTACTGTGTGGCTCCCGGTTTAAAGGGAACATTCTCAATACACACTGAGAACAAGTTTTCTTGAATACAATTCCCATGTGCATGGGGCCATTCTCTCTTCCTTTTCCTAACAGATGCTCCGTATTCCTTCAGGCACAGTGTCTCATGGAAAGGTGATAGCAGCCCCAGCTGGAGGGTGGGGACCTGAGTAGTCAAAGGCTGTATAGTGTGCCGACAAGAAACATCAGCATCACCTGGGACCATCTGAGAAACGTCAGTTCTGAGGCCCCACCCCAAACCTACTGAATCATAACCTATTTTACAAGATCCCCATTTCATCTGTGTGCACACTAACGTTTGAGATTCACTGATCTAAGAGAAACCCCTTTCCAGTGATGGGTTTAAGAATTGGCATGTGACCCAATTCAGGACAATGAGATGTGAAAAAATTTTTTCGGGAGCATCTCCTCATTCTCCTGGGAAAAAATCCCTCCTCTGACTGTTGTGTGGGATGTGACACCTAGGACTTCCACAGCTACCTTTCCCCCACGTAAAGAGGAAGGGCAGAGACAGAAAAAACCACAGGGAAGCATAGTAGGGCTGATTGCATTAGGTCAACCCTGAAGTCTGTGGAATCACCCAACTGCCAGTAAATTTCTTATTGTTCAGGCCTCCTGGAGTGGAGTTTTCAATGATCTACAGCTGGAAAACACCCCAAAATAAAGCATTATTAAGAGAACAGAATGCCCAGGCAGTGGGCTCAACCACATGCTGAAGAGTTCAGACAAGTCAGTGCATCGAGGGACCAGAGCGACAGTTTAGAGCCTTGTTTTTGTTGAGGGAACTGACCCAGTTAGTATTTCCGGTTCTGACAACCATTGTTTACTTTGCCCATTTCCAAAAGTTTTCCAAACTGGCCAGTCTAAATTATCAACCAGACAAAGTGCTGAACACTTTCCACATTATTTTAACCAGAGTGATCAAAATTGCCTTCCCCAGAAGTCACACGGATGTCATTTCCTGCAAAGACAATGGGAGACTAATTGCTCAGCCTCACACTCTAATAGGGAAGACAACCTGTGACATGTAATTACTGGAGGGTAAATAAGGAAAAGCTTGAGGCTCTCAAAATCTGTTCTGGATCCACTCCAAAAACTTGGGGAAAAGGAAAAAGAGAGAGAGAGAGAGAGAGAGAGAGAGAGAGAGAGAGAGAGTGAGTCAGCTGATCTAAGAAAAGATTTGAGGGGCTAGCAGATTAGGTAACCACCCATACCAATTTTACACACCACTGGCACTTATTAAAGACCTACCTAAGGGAAACTAAATAGACCTACTATTATATAAAACCGTATATGGCTTTGGTGTAATTTTGCTTCATATATAGGAGTGATGTCATCAAGGAAAACTGGTATCTAAATGGACATTATCTCTTTAGTGAGTCATGGCTTCTTAGCCACAACAGGATATTTTGGGGGATGGGCTTGTGTTGGCTTGATGAAGAATGTGCTATCATGGAGTGGACGTTAGTTGGTTTTCTACAGAATATTCCTTAAATTCTATTATCTAAGGTCTCTTTTTCTCTCCAAACCTTTTTGCTTTATCTTCCTTGGTACCTAATACACTGTCACAGCTCCAGCCA